CAGACTGAGGGGTAGGAGATCAGACCGAGGGGTAGGAGATGGGACTGAGGGGTAGGAGATGGGACTGAGGGCTAGAAGATCAGACTGAGGGCTAGGAGATCAGACCGAGGGGTAGGAGATGAGACTGAGGAGTAGAAGATGCGACTGAGGGGTAGGAGATCAGACTGAGGGGGAGGAGATGGGACTGAGGGGTAGGAGATGCGACTGAGGGGTAGGAGATCAGACTGAGGGGAAGGAGATGCGACTGGGGGGTAGACGATGCGACTGATGGGTTGGAGATCAGACTGAGGTGTAGGATATGAGCCTGAGGGGTAGGAGATGAGCCTGAGGGGTAGGAGACGAGACTGGGTGGTAGGAGATGACACTAAGGGTGTATGAGATGACACTAAGGGGTATGAGTACGCAGTAGTACTGTAATGTCTGTGCCATCATGAACCAATGCTTACAACAACGTGTATGCGCGTGAGTTCGTGGGGGGCGATAAGTTGAGTTCGAGTGTGGTTGTAAAGATGTTTAATCTATCATGTCGTGCAATTGGCGCAATATTTTTGGAATGGTTTCAGTATGCTCCTAAATTTGATTAAAGTCACATACTACAAATGTAAAATGATGCGTCAATATAATATATTGTATATATTATATATATATATATATGAGCAGCACTAAACATATATAGGATTCATAATATCGCATTATAGGGCATCATAGAAATGTTACTTTCCACTAATCGTGTATGCTGGAGCCATCGTCATTACCTGCTAACACATAGAGCAGACCTTTGCTTCTCTTGCTCGCGTTGCTGTAATGGTGTACGATGGTGCTGTTGACTGGGGCCCACTACATACTGTGTATATTGCTTCACCCAGGGTGGGGAGAAGGACAACACAGCCGAGCACACCCAGTCAGAAGACAGACTTAAAACAGACGGGTAAGTGTAGCATTCTCCTGCGTTATGTGTGTGCAGCGACATTTCACGACCATCGTGTAGTCGTGCTTATGCCTTTAGCCGTACCTTATTGTATTGCTCTGTTCGTGCTCTGTGAAAGCCGAAAAAATACTGTTATTGTCTCAAATCGCTCCACTGTGAGTTTCATAATATGGATTTTCACGAACTAGAGCCTGTAAGAATAGTGGTAGTAAGATTGTCTCATGGGTCTTATGGGTCTTATTGCCAACCAATGTTCGTCGGACGACGAATCAATGACTTTAATGCAAATGGAACTCAGTGGAAATGATTAATATTGCCTGCATGAGAATTTAACGCAGTTTACCGTAAAGTGTCCGTCGGCGCCAAACGATGGCAGACGAGTAGTCGTGCATCTGTAGTCGTCGACGACGACGACAACGCGGCGGTGAATGCAGGGTGCGGAATGTCCCGCTAACACACGCTGTGTGTGTTCGTCTGTTTACATGTAGAAGAGTCATATCAGAAGATGGCCATTGAGACGCTGGAGGAGTTGGACTGGTGTCTCGATCAGCTGGAGACGGTACAGACGCATCGGTCTGTCTCAGACATGGCATCGAGCAAGGTGAGTCTACAGCGTCGCTCCGCATCACCCCGCAGAAAGCGAAATCAACTTGTTACCCCGCCCCCAGCATTCTTAACGGACAGGCAGATGTCGCGCCCCGGAGAGTGAAAGTGACGATGCGTTTTTTCAACTGGTGGAATATTTGGAGAAGGAAACAATTTTATCGCGAGTTCGCTCGGTTTTTTGGCCGTTACACAGTTTAACAGTAATGTCGTCGCCTCGTGTGAAGCAGGAAGGCACGTGAGCATGTGGCTGTGTTATAGCTGTTATGGACCTTGGTACTCATTTTACGCGGAATACTTCAAAACTTTGGCTGCCACTGTTCTTGGGAAAAAGTGGCGTTTTTTCTTAATTTTGATCCTCATTCCGCTAGCGGCTACCCATGCATACACAGTAAAGACGTGAGAAGCTTGTCGCTCTGCCTCTTTTTGCGTGTTTAACTGGGCAAATATAGACGTCTGTAACTTGTTATTAATAGTCATATGCCACTTCGGTGTTACTTAAATAGGGTTTGATTTCTGGTCGTCAGTGACCAAATTGTCATTTGTTGTATTACGCGACTATGTTATAGACGTCATTATATCATACTCCTATAAAGCTGTTACGAGGATATTAGAGAGTCACCAGTGATCCACGTAGGTTTCATAATAGAATGCGATAGCGCTAATTATTAATAGCAATTATAATGCAACATATAATTTAATATTACCCTTGGCGATGACTAATGTATGTGGGATTGTAAGGGTAAAATAAATGTGCAAATTAGAGTAAATTCAGAAACAGTTATTACAAAGGGAACAGCAATGTGTTAATTAATAATCGAAGGCTATCAATTTTTACCAGTTAAAAAGCACTATTATGAATAATTTTCACTTCTAAATGTAAAACGAATAATATTACGTTCTGATTTGAATTTTAGCAAGTACAACGTTTTCAATGATCATGATGTTTATTTTACAGTTCAAGAGAATGTTGAACAGGGAGTTAGGTCATTTGTCCGAGTCCAGTAAATCAGGCAACCAGATATCGGAATATATCTGCAGCACCTTCTTAGGTATTTGCCATGATCCTCGTGCTTTAGTAACATAGATAGATTCACAGATTGTAAGAAGATAAGGTGTGATCTATGATGTGAATATAATTTTCAGTTTAGTGACACTTATTTATGCTCATTGGTTTCTTATTAATGAGACTCATAGAGATGAATTTTGTAATATTATCAGAGTTCATGAAATTTGAGCTCCTCCCTGGCTTAGATTTTATGGATTTAATGTTTATTATATGTTATGTTGATGCTGAAGGATTCCATCTTTCCTGCCTCTCTTCACTCGCTCCCTTTCCCCCTCCTGCTATTTTCACTCCATCCCCCACTTCTTCTCTCCCTGCTTCTGTTCCTCACCCCTTCCTTCATTCCATCCCTCTCTCTCTCCCTTTCTCCCTTTATCCCCACTCCCTCTCTCTTTTCCTCTCGCATTCCGTCCTTCCCGACTTCTGTCACTCTCTCTTCTTTCTCCTCTCTCTCTCTCTCCATCTTTCTTCCCTCTCTTCTCCACTTTTTACTCAGCGCTCTTTCTCTCCCCACTCCCTCTCTCTCTCTCTCTCTCTCTCTCTCTCTCTCTCTCTCTCTCTCTCTCTCCTCCCATTCCCTCCTCTTCTCTCTCTCTCTCTCTCTCTCTCTCTCTCTCTCTCTCTCTCTCTCTCTCTCTCTCTCTCGTGGTCAGCGCTATATTTACAGTGCGTTAATTACGTGATTGCGTTCGTTATAGATAAGCAGCAGGAGATTGACATTCCCTCGCTGAGGGTGGAGGACACGGCCGAACAAGAGGCGGCGTTGAAGAGGAGGTCGAGCAAAGGAGAGGCGATGCAGGATATCAGGGAGGAGAAGTTTAACGTCGGCACGAAGATGGCGCAGATAACGGGCGTGCGCAAGCCCAAGAACACCTACCAGCTGTCCAAGGCCATGCCAAAATACGGTGTTGAGACGATCCACGAGGAAGAGCTGGCGAAGGTAGGTGGCGCCACTGCAGTGCGACCGTCCGCCGACACATGGTCATAGAAGTCACGAAATTTTGGGTCGACCTTGGGCGTCGCTAAGATAGCGAAATTCATTAATGCAATCGTGATTGAGATTTTTATGTCGGTTGGAGTGATATGCATCTGATGTCACGTGAGTGTAGTAAATACTCATAAATGTATTGTAATATGGTTCACTCTTGATTGTGAATAAATGAGAAAACAATATGTATCATTCGTCAATTTCATAATGCCAAGGTGTGTCTGTGTGAGTGTGCGTTCATGCAAGCACGTGTGTGATCATGTGTTTTATAGTTGCTGACTTATTGTTTTTGTTTTGTGTTTCTGGTCACAGCTCGTTGCTGAATTCGATGCTTGGGGACCGGACATATTTAGAGTTAATGAAATAACCGGTAATCGGCCATTGACTACTGTTGTATATACAATACTCAAGGTTGGTACCTTTGTATTTTCTCTTCCTCTCGTTTTTACTCTGATCTTTAATGGGTACTCGATGCAAATATGCTGAAAGTTGTATAGGAGAAACCTTAAATATTGTCAGCCAGTAACTAAATACATGTCATAGATCTGTCAACATAATAAACCCTGTCATTGCTATTGGATCGCGTAGCTCTCATAGTGAATGACGGTTAACATGGCATATTGTGCTGTATTGTTACAAAGTTCATCATTGATATCCGTGACCTTTTTGAAGTCGACTGATGATGCGTTTATCTCAACGTAACCTAACCGAGTCATGTGTAACTGTGAGCCTTTGTGCATCTCTCCCCTTGTATATTGTGTTGCAGCATGAGAGAGATCTGTTGAGTGAGTTCAAAATCTCTGAGCAGACACTGGTGAATTATCTCATGGCATTGGAAGATCACTATTTACAAGTTCCATTCCACAACAGAGTTCATGCTGCCGACGTCACACAGTCTACAAACGTCCTTCTCCTCACGCCAGCGCTAGAGGTGAGTCCAGGTCACATCGACCGAGTGCATAACCGAGAGTCGATAATGAAGAAATCAACTCTTCTTCTTCGTAATATTTATTTGCAGATGTTGATGTAACCATGGTTACATTATGATGACTGAATCACGCATCAACATTAGATATTGTTACTATCTTCATCTTCATTCATTTAATATATATCTCTTTCTATTTCTCTACCTCTGTCTCTATCTCTCTTTCTCTCTCTCTCTCTCTCTCTCTCTCTCTCTCTCTCTCTCTCTCTCTACTATCTATATATATATATATATATATATATTACCCACCCTTACTTGATATTTCATCGTTTCCGTTTCAGAATGTCTTCACAGATCTAGAGTTTTTGTCAGCGATATTCGCCAGTGCTATTCATGATGTCGATCATCCAGGAGTAACTAATCAATATCTGATAAACACAAGTACGTAGCACCGATACTACTGCTTACTCATAACATTTGTGGTCGTATCCACACTATCTGTTCTGTATATAAGTAATTAACTCACAAAAAACGATGGTATAAGCATATGCAGCCTAGAACATGTGCAAACCTTGTCTATACCCTTACACGTGTGTACAGACCTTGTATGTACCCCTTACACGTGTGTACTTGTCTGTACCCTTTTTATGCACAATTCTAGCCTGTACCCTTACATGCGCACACACATTACCTGTACTCTTACACGTGTGCACACAACATAAGCTTGCCGTGACCGTTGCAATGTGCGTGTACGCGTGTGTTGTTCATGCGTGCGTTGTTGCTGCCCCGGGGGGGGGGCACTCCATATATATATTGCATGGTAGGTATGTGTCGCGGAAGAGACCCTCATTTTCAACCCTAAACTTCCTTTTCAGTGCATCGCATTTTTAAGTATATCTCGTTCCAGAGCATCACAAGCTTAGTTCCCATGCAGATCTTGCATTTTTGTCGTTCCGGAGACCCTAGAGAGTAGTTTGTAACATTTCCGTTCCAGTGCATCGTACTTCAGAATATGTTGAACTTGAAGCCGGGCCGTGAAGGCATGCATGCAACGCATGCGCATATGGATAACATAGCCAGTTCCAGAGCACCCCACATGCAACAAACATTAGTTCCAGAGACCTCCATTTTCAGATCTGAGTTAGTTCCAGAGCCCCCCATTTTTGACTTCGCAGTGGCACATACCTACCATAATGTGGGGTGAGTGCCCCCCCCCCCCGGGGTTGCTGTGCTTGTACGTACACGTGTGTTGTTCACGCGTGCGTTGTTGCTGTGCTTGTACGTACACGTGTGTTGTTCATGCGTGCGTTGTTGCTGTGCTTGTATGTACACGTGTGTTGTTCATGCGTGCGTTGTTGCTGTGCTTGTACACTGCTAAAAATGATTTGCTTGAAATGAGAAAAA